GGGGGGGGGGGGTTTGTGAAGGCAGAGAGAGGGGGGAAAGAAAGATGAGAATTGTGGCTTTTGTGAAAACAGAGAGAGGGAAAAGAAAGATAGAGATGAGAATTGTGAGTTTTTGTGAATTATTGTTCAAACAGATTTTAAAATTTTTTATTTTTTAAAACTATTTTCAAAAATATATTACCAAACATGTTTTATAATTTAAAAAATTTCAAAAACACTTTCTTAAAATTATTCTCAAAAACTATTTTCGAATATTTTTTTTTGAAATGCAAACCAAACGTGTCCCAAGTGTTTTGAGTTTGAATCTTGATAATCTCTAGTCCTGAGTTGAGTAACTTGCTTTTGACTAGACCGAGTGGGAGATTAGTTGAGTTGCGTTTAACTGACTTGAACACTTCTAATAGTTGAACCAAAAAAAAAAAATTCACTAATCATATATTAGCTGAAAAATAAAAAAAAATCCAGCATACAATGATTCATGTAATTCATAATCGAGAATGGATCAAAAAGGACAAATAAACATTTATTTTATATTATATTAGTTAAACAAGTTTATAATTTGAAATTTGAATTATTTGCAGTAATTTTATGTTGACTTTAGAATTGTGTTAAAGTAATAAATCTAGACATAAAGGCCCCCCATAAGACAATAACACTAGCACAACCCCCAAACCAAACAGAGCCTCTAGGAGTAGGAGGAGCCAGCTTGACTACACTAGCGAAACTGAGTATCCAAAGTTAGGGTGTAAATGTGGGTGGGACCCATTTAATCCCGTAATCAACGCGTCAGACACTGCGCCGGACTTTTAACTGTAGCTGGACCCACACACACGCACACATATCTCGAGCCACACCACACCACACCAGACGCGCGACAAAATCCATTTTCCTTTGTTATTTGCAGCCCTTCTTGTAAGTTGTAACACCTAATCATAACTTCGCAGAATGTCTGTGTTTCTCTTCTACTATCATTTTTTACTTTTTATTTTTCCTTCTCATTCTTAAATTATTATCACTACACGATATTATTAATTAATAATAAAATATTAAATAAAAATTGATGAGTCTGACAATTCTAATATGATAATTATTAATTAAAGTGATTATGGATAGTCATTAAAATAATAAAATTCACTAAATAATGAATTTTAATTAATGACGCCTCATATAAATAATGAGGTAATGTCACTATTAACTTGAATATTTTATCCTCTAACACACAACCACTTTTTAACCATCTATTGTGACTATTATGTAACCGAATGAATAATATATAAATATTGTTTAAAATTTTTTTACAATGTGATTAAAATATTATTATGTTTAAAATATAGAGATAATTACACCCAGATCTTTTGAAATTTGTCACTTAATCACTTAAATTTCTCGACATTTAAAATATTACACACAGACTTTCTGAAGTTTGTACGCCCGTAACACTTAGATCCTATTGTAAATATATTTGTTAATAAATTATATTTAGACCCCTCTAAAGTTTATAGGTATATAATACTTAGACCGCTTGAGTTTAAAATATTATACTTAGACAAAAATACTTCAATCAAACATTAAATATAAAATATTTTTAATTTTACAATCAAAATTCATGTTCTATTGTATCATTTATTAAAATAAAATTAAAATTAAAAAATTAATTTTTTTAAAAAAAATCATAATTAGTATACAATTATACCATCTATTAGAATAAAACTAAAAAATCAAATAAGAGTTCTAAGTCATTCATAATAGAATATGAATTTTACATTCAACATTCATACTCTATTATGTCATTTATTGAAATAAAATCAAAAATAAAAGTCTAGTTTAAAAAAAATCATAATTAATATATAATTATAATATCTATTAGAATAAAATAAAAAAATTAAACAATTGATCAAACTGTAATAGATACAATATCATTTAGTTTTAATTGAGGTAGTTTGATATTTTAATTTGGTCGTTTAAACTTCCAAATTAAATTCCAATATGCAATATAATTGTATACCAATTACGATTTTTTAAGGAAAAAATTAAATTTTTATTTTTGATTTTATTTCAACAAATAATACAATAGAACATAAATTTTTGTTATAAAATTTAAAATATTTGATATTTTATCTTTAATTGAAGTATTTTTTGTCTAAATATAATATTTTAAATTTAAGAGGTCT